CGATTTTTGGGTGTTGACTGTATCCAGCTACACTGCTGAATTTGTCGATTAATTGAAGCAGTCTTCTAGTGGAGTTTTTGGCGTCTTCCATGTAAAGTATCATGTTATCTGCTAATAAGGAAAATTGCTCTTCTTCCTTTCCTGTCCTTACTCCTTTTATTTCTCTCTTTTGTCTAATTGCTCCAGCTAATGCTTCCAGGACTGTGTTGAATAGGAGTGGTAACAGTGCACATCCTTGTCTTGTTCCTGATTTTAAAGTGAAAGCTTTTAGTGTTTGTCCATTTATTATGATGTTGGCTGTTGGTTTGTCATAGATGGCTTTGATAAGATTGAGGTAAAGACCATCTATTCCTATTTTCTGTAGGGTTTTTATCATGAATCCATGTTGGACTTTGTTGAAAGCTTTGTCTGCATCTATTGAGATGATCATATGGTTTTTGTCTTTGGCTGTATTGATACGGTGTGTAACATTAATTGATTTTATAATTATATTTTTAGTAAAGTGAAATTGACTTTTATATGTGGTGGGAGAAGGGATAACATTTCAGTTGTTTTTATATTGATATCCAAGTAGTTCAGCACTATTTATTGAAAAGAACATTCTCTCCCCAATGATCTGCAGTGTTACCTTTTCTGTAAGTAAAATAATCAGATACTTATTGTAATGTTTCTGTGTTTTCTCTCTTCTTTTATTGGTTAATTTTTTAATGTGATGCTAATACCTAATTGTTAATTTATGTAGATTCATAGAAAGTTTTTATTTTTTATTTTTTTATTTATTTATTTTTTTCCAGTACCGGGAATCGAACTCACGGCCTCGCACTTGCCAGGCAAACGCTGTGCCGCCGAGCTAAATCCCCAGCCCCTCATAGAAAGTTTGTATTTCTTATAATATTAAATCCTTTAAATTTTTTAGTTAAATGTTTTTTGTTTTTTTCCCTGTACCAGGAATCAAACTCATGACCTTGCGCTTGCCAGTCAGGCGCTGTGCCACTGAGCTAAATCCCCAGCCCCTCATAGAAAGTTTGTATTTCTTATAATATTAAATCCTTTAAATTTTTTAGTTAAATGTTTTTTGTTTTTTTCCCTGTACCAGGAATCAAACTCATGACCTTGCGCTTGCCAGTCAGGCGCTGTGCCACTGAGCTAAATCCCCAGCCCCTAGTTAAATGTTTTGACTAGCTGTGCCTCTTTGCATTTTAGTGTAAGAATTATTTTGTCAGTTTGTATGTCTAATTTCTTTCTTTCTTTCTTTTTTTGGTGGTAGGGATTGAACCCAGCACCTTGTGCATGCAAAGCAAGAACTCTACCACTGAGCCAAGCCACTCCCCAGCCCCTAATTTCCTTTTGATATTCTTCTTGATATGTGAATTATTTAAAAGTATATTGATTAATTTCCAAAAATTGGGATTTTCCAGATGTGTTTGTTACTGGTATCTAGCTTAAATATCAGTAAATCTACAATGGCCCATTAACATAGGCTATATCAGTACTGCTCATATTCTGTGTGGCAGATGATGACTTATTTTTTTCCTCAAACTCCAGTGGATGATAACTTTTGTAAATGCAACAAAAATAGATTTACTCCAAAGTTGAAATGAAAAAAATGTGAGTTGTAAGCATCAATGTATATTTCAAATTATATAGGATGTCAAGTACACAATATCTAAGGGCTATATTTCCAAGTACTCTCAACTTTTACACTTACCTGGCTATAGTCCAGCAGCAGTTGTGAACAAGCATTACTCCATGGAACACCCTTTAAGTAGCACTGCTCACTGTGAATCCATCTTTGAAGTTTGTTGACCCTTGCCCTTGTCCACAGTCAATTTCAGTACCATTCCATGTGCAGTTTAAAAGGTGTTTGGGAGGCTGAGGATTGAGGATCACCATGAACTTGAGGCCAGCCTGGACTACATAGCAAGACCCTGCTGACTGACTGAATGAATGAATGAATGAATGAATGAGCTACATAGTAAGAACCTGTCTGAATGAGGAAATGAATAAAGGAGTGAAGGAATGAACAAACATATATTCTCACTGGTAGAGTCATCTAAGTCAGTTAGATCATGTTTATTCCTTACGTTTTATGTTCTTTTTCTCTCACTTGTTCAATGCATTACTGAAAGTGATACATTGTGTCTCCCACTATGATTGTGAGTTTATGTGTTTCTCCTTTGGTTTTGTCAGTGTCGTCTTTGCGTACTTGGAAGTGCTTATGTTATTGGATATGTTCACATTTGTAATTGCTCTATCTTACCAGTAGGCCCTTGCAGCACTGTGACATCTCTGTTACTGCACTTTGCTGTAAAGTGTTCTTCATACGATAATTACCATAGCAGTAGCACTTCATTTTTATTTGCACATATCTTTTTATATTATTTAAAATATAGTCTCTTGTAACCAGCATAATTTGTGGGTTTTTGTAAATTAACTAACTGAGATGATTAGAAAACAGGGATTGAAAAAATTCAAGAGCATGTTGTTTTGTGCTGGGCGTGGTGGTGCACTCCTGTAATCCCAGCACTCAGGAGGCTTAGGCAGGAGGATCATTATGAGTTCGAGACCAGCCTGGGCTACAAAGTGAGTTCAAGGCCAGCCTGAATTGCATAGCGAGACCCTGTCTCAAAAAGGGGGGAAAAAAAAGAGCATGTTGTTTTAATTAAACATAGGATATGTGTCCTTGTGTTGTGTTCTCATTCAAAATTCAGTGCTAGAAACTAACTGGAAACACTTAGTACCATTTACCAATTGTTAGAAGGTGTAAAGAAGCAAGTTCTAAATGTGGCCTGCAAGAGCGTCTCTAAGCAATCACAGCGCTGCTCGGTCCGGGAGCTTTGCCTCACAGACCATTGGCCGCAAGAACAGAATGGAGCAGTTGCTGCCACCACACCATGTTCTTGCTCGCTCACCCTGGTAGCAAAGCGCACAAGAAAGCCTTTCCCTCACTCCAGCCTGCCGCGCCCCGCAAGAGTCCCTCAAGCTGATGAAACCTAGTGTGAATCAAACACAACCTGCGGAAGTGTAGGACTTGGATCTTTGCAAGTATTAGGAGGAGGTAGAGTGTGAGTCACAAGAGCCAGTGCAAACTTTCTACCGTTCACACAGATTACAAGTTCAGTGCTCTATCTTAAGGAGAATTTCACATTATTCTGAATAATTTTCCTCTAACATTGCCATCAGTAAATATAAGACTTTGGATCTTCTGTGCCTTTTTTGCCAGCTGCTAAATGAACATATTGTGACCTGTGAATTTATCCAGAATACATACGAATTAAAGATTTTTTAAACTCAATTAATATATTAGTATTTTTGAAGATACATAAGATGTCTGAATCTCCTTGATAAATCTAAAAATTTAAACAACCTACCAAGATTGAAGATTGACATTCCTTATTCCAAGGTCATTTTCAGAGGTAACTGTGAAGTCAGCTTGTTTCACAACCACAGATGGGCTATGAACTTCCTTTGAATTCCTATCATATATCCAAGGACATTGTATGGTATATTTACTAAGTGTTTATAGCAATTCAGATCTTGATGTGAAAATGTCAATGTAATTCTCAAGGGCAAAAAGCTAAATGTAGCTTCCTCCAGCATTGTCCTTTCCACTACAACCCTATTTGTTTTTCTGTGGTCCTTGCTTTCTTTTTCCTTCTGTGGATGAATGGTAAAGGCCTGAATAAAGTGAGGAGAGTACACTTACACTATCTAGATGCTTTAGAGGTTGTTGTAAGATGGTTTGTTCTCAAAGAGAGAATACAAAATGAAAACAGACACGGAGCCTTGAATGTAATGTGCTTGTTAGCTGAAGCATTAAGTAGTGACAGTGTTGAGCACTGGAAGTTAGAGGAAGTGTGCCGTATACATAGCTGTAATGTGACGGGGGCCAGGGAGACAGCTCAGTGGCACAGCGCCTGCCTGGCAAGTGCAAGGGAGTGCGTTTGATTCCTGGTACCAAAAAAAAAGTGACAGTTTGGGGATTATATTTTTGTATGTCAAATAGGTACTGTTTGTAATTGTGTAACAGTTCTGTATTTGAAATTTATTTCAGTTTTCCTATTACTGTTTGGATTAGAAAGAATTCACTTCAAAAAAACTCTTTTAAAAAGTGACTTTATTTTAGGCGACTGTGAACCCATGACTACATTTTAAAATATTCTAATAGGCTCATACCAGAGAATGAGGTCATTTTATTATCATTCATTTATTAGTATTTTTTAATGTATCACTCTTAGTAAATATGATTTTTAGCATCAGGTGTTAAATATTTGCATTTTTTAAACATTCATTTTGTTTTTATGAAATTGTAAGACTTTACAAGAACCCACAGATTGATTTACCTCCTGTAAAGTTTATGAATTTTTTTTTTTTTAAGAATATTATGGAGGTGTGGGGTTGTAGTTTTTTTTGTGTGTAGGGGTTTGTTTTTTTGTCTTTTTGAGACAGGATCTCACCATGTAGTTCAGACTGGACTTGAACTCATGGTAATCCTCCTGCCTTGGCCTCCTGAGTGCTGAGATTACAGGCATGTGCCTCCACAGTCAGCAAAAATGTTATTTTGTGGCCATGTGTGGTGGTATACACCAGTAATCTTAGCACTCAGGAGACTGAGGCAGGAGGATTGCCATGAGTTTAAGGCCAGCCTGGGCTACATAATGAGACCCTGTCTTCAAAAAAAGGAATGTTATTTTTTTATTTAAATATCCTCTTATCAGAAAATTGGTCAAGACTTTGAATGATAAATGTCTGACTAGGAAAATGTTTGAACAGTTTTCAAATAATTTTTGATCATAACTTACTACTTTTCTTAAAAGTTGTTTTTGATTGTTGAATATATGTATTTTTTCACTGAACTAATTTATTTTGTTTTGCCTTCTGGTAAACATATAAGATAGAATGCATGTGTGAGTAAGTATCAGAATTATTATTTATTCTATATTGAGGACTAAAAAATCAATAACCATGTTTTAATCCATTTAATTTCTTTGTCTTCTCAGGTGGATCTCCTTATTTAGCAACCAAAATAAATGAAGCAAAAGACTTGCTAGAGTCAACTACCAAGCACTGATCAAAGCTCAAGGACCAAGCTGAAGGAAAAGTACAAGGAACTTAAGAAAGCAGACCGCAAATTAGTGTAAAGTACGGTGTTGGTTTTCCTCATGTGGGCCACAGTCACTCTTCCATCCAAGCAGTACAACAATAAAGGCTAGACACCTTTCTTTTCTCTTAAAGGAACTGTGTAAATGCCTAGGGGAAAACTGCATATTTTTCTTCACTTTCTCTATGATATTCACATTTTTTAAAATTTTATGTAAGTCCTAAACTCTGTACACAAATGTACACACACAAGTGTGCAAAAGTATAATCATAACCAATGCAATTGGGATTTGTGAACAATGAGTAGAAATTTTCTTGCTGCTTATGCTTGTCCCCTTATTGTCCCTCAGTTCTTCAGAGGAATTTGGGACTTTGCCTGTCAGGTGCTTTAAATGTTTTGAGACCAAACCCACTGCCACCCCTGGGAAAATAATGTGGAATGTCTTGGAATTTACTGGTGATTTGTAAAACAGTGGCTAGGACTTGTTAAGTAACTGTGCTCTCTCTGGGACCTTATAGCTGAAGCATGAGAACTTCGAGAGCCACTGAAATCATTCAAGATTTACAGAATGACCCCTATGAGGAAAGCCTGAAAGGAGCTGAGAAATCTGAGGCATTGTGTTTAATTATAACCTTCCCGTATTATATATTTATTCAGTTATTCATCCTGCAAATATTGATTGACCACCTTTGATAGGTAAAGCCCTGTAGTAGACCCTCTGAGAGTTACAAGTATGAATCAGTCATGGATCCTGACCCACAGGAATGTAAATAAAGAGAAAGAATAAAATCACATAAGTAATGAGTTCTGCTAGAGATATGGATTATAGTTAAGGAGGTTTAAAAAATGTATTTCTAATTCAGTTCATGGTGAGGAGGGGCTTCATGGATCAAGTGGCATTGAGTTGGGCTTTTATTATAAGTATACTACATGATTGTGAGTCAGAGCGGGCCAAGGTCTTGCACGGCTGTGATCCCAGCACACGGGAAACCTAGGCAGAAAGAATGCTGCAAGTTTGGGGCCAGCCTGCAATAGTTAGCAAGACATTGTCTCAAAATAAACAAAGAAAAAGATTGTGACACAGCATTGCTTCTGCTGAGATCAGAAATAGGAGTAGTAGATCTATCAGTGTGTTTAAAGCACAGAGTTACTCAAAAGCAAGAAATGGGACAGAATAGTCTTGAGAATTTAGTCACTCGTTAGCTTAGAATTTTCTTCCTATTTTCCTGTTAATTATATGCCTTGGAGTCAAACAGATACGGTTTTGAATACTATCTTCCTATTAGGTGATCTTGGATAGTTATCTGATTCACAAGTCTGTAATCCTAACCTATAAAATAGAGAAAATACTTCCATCTAATAAGGTTGTTAGGGCATAAGGATGTGTAAATCATTTAATCACATAGCAGATGTTCAAAAAGTAAATCATTTTTTTCCTGCCTCATTAATTTTATTTTTTAGCACACCTTGGGTAAAGGTTCCAGGTATGTTCCAGTATAATCACTTGTTTTACTTTTGAATCTACAACTTGGATAGGATGCAGTGGGGACAGCTCCACTGTTTCAGGCAGCACCAACTGAGGCTGGAGGAGCCATTTCCTATGGCTGTCAGTTGGAACTGGGTGTTGGCTGGGAGCTGCCATTCCTCCGTACATGGCTTCTCCACAGGTTTGCTAGGGCGTCATCACACCATAGCGCTGTGCTACAGGAGACAGTCGTTCAAGGGGCTGGAAATGCGTGCTGTGCCCTGGTTCTGGGAATTGTCATGGCAGCACTTTATCCATATTCTGTTTGTTTAAGACTTACGAGCCGGCCAAGATTCAAAGGGAGAAGACGGAAGATTGTGAAAGAATATGTGGTCGTTTTTAATTTGTAGCGGGGTAAGGTTGGAAGTTTTTTTTTTCTTTTTAATCAAATTAGTTAAGGCATTACTTTAAAAATCATAGCAACTTGGAATACAGGCTCAAGAAGTTTCAGGTGATACAGCTACGATTCTAGGCAGGTGTTAATTCTGTAGTAATTCTCTAAATGGCAGTATAGTTATAAAATTGGGTTTTGACAGTTATCCACCTCAACTCCTTACTATCTAAACAAAGTTTACTTGAATGGTTACCTGTCTTCAGTAAAGATTGTTTTTGCATATTTGCTGTCATTGCATATTCTGCTGAATTAAGCTCTTTGTTATTGCACTTTTAATCTTGGGTCCAGTATGGGGGAACAGGAAAGACTTTTTAAAAACACAACAGTTCTTAAAAAAATAAAAACACAACAGTAACTTCACAGAGAAATTATAAGTTAGATGGACCATTAAAGGGAACATGAAAAGCCACATAGATTATAATCATGGTGCCCATCTGCAAACAGTTAAAAGAGGAAAGAAGCTTAGTAAGGTAAAGAGTGTTGAGTGTAGCAGGCATTGTTTTATTTACAAAAGATGTTTTAGTCAGGAGGTAACACTATAAATTATGTCATGCAATGGAAATACAGAATATATTGTTAAAATGTTCAATATGTTGAGAGTAAACGAAAACATTCTTAAATATAGGTAACTTTTTTTTTGCCTCATTTTAATTAACAAGAAATACTGAGTTATATTAGTTATGATTACCCAGTAGGGCTACTAGAAATAGCACTTTATCTCTGTACAGAAATATTTTGGTTGTCATAGAGAACCTCAAATACAGGCAAGAGCCTTTAGTGACTGAGTCACATTTCACAATTAAGGTAGTTTAATGACATTTATGGGAGAAGATGAATCAGCTGAATGTCAAAAATAGGAAGTTTCTCTGACTCACCCATCTTAGGGTAAGGTACAGAGACTGCATTGAGAAGTTACATGTCCTCAGAGGCTGGTTGTTTTTACACAGTGAAAAACACTCTGTCCACAGGCACTCTGCACCCTGCCCACCAGAGACAGGCCTCTGGCTGCGAGGAAGACTGGACAGGCGTGGGTAAATGTGTCGGGAGTGCCTCTCCCTCCCAGTGGGAAGAGCATACCCTCCTAATACTAGGTCAGTGTCATCTACACGTCAAAAGCATCTCATGAATTATTAGCCACAACTTTATTTATGATGGTTATATACATTAGGAAATTAAAATGTGTTCGTGTAATTTATTAGCTGAAAAAGGACTGTTCTCTGGTCCCTATTTTTAGGTAGAATCTAAGTGATCTGGATCATTACCCACCAGCAAAATTGCTAGTCATGGTAGACAAAGAAAATGTTCCTTCTAATTTTTTTCCTATGAGCTCAGTAGCTATTGTTCCCAGCTGAGTGTTCTTTTTCTCTTTTTATTGCTACTGGGCAAAAGAATTTATTTTTTTAAAAATCTCATTTTTTGTATTAAAAATCCTGTTCAATTGAAATGCAAGTTCATTAAGTAGTGTTCATTTCTCTTCATGCTGTAATAACCCTTTCCCCTCTGGGCTATTCAACAGTGCCTAGCAGCACTGGTCAACATTTTCAGTCTGAACAGATTATTATATAGACATCAGATATGCAATCTCCAGCATTAAGAGGAAGTTTAATTTCACATGGCCAAAAGAGGAACACTCAGGCTAGATGTTGGCTATAAGTTTCAAATTAGTATCTCAACTCTGCTGGGAAAATGCTCCCTGGAACAGTAAATCAGCAGCAGCAAACTTCTGTTGTGATAGGATGATGATTGGGTCAAGATACTGATTTTAACATCTAAGCTGCAGTGCTAAAGGCCAGTAACACCGAGTTAATTTTCATCAATGCAATACTTAATAAAAGCTAATATGTTGTTGAACACTTAGGCCAAACATTCTACCTATTATCAATTTTCATAGCTACCCTAAGAGACAGGTACTGTTATTCCCATTTTACAGGTAAGGCAAGAAAAGTTCAAGGGGTTTATGGAGTTTTCCCAGATTACAAATTTATTTTTGGGTGGTGGGACTACAACCCAAATTTTGTTTTTTTGTTTGTTTGTTTTTTCCGGTACCGGGAATCGAACTCACGACCTTGCGTTGCTAGGCAGGTGCTGTGCCACTGAGCTAAATCCCCAGCCCCTACAACCCAAATTTTGAAGCACACACTCTTTACTTTTGATTGTATTGTACTCACCCTTACTATGTGGGAAGCAATGGAAGAGGTGTGTGTGCCTTTTGGTTCATTCTTGGATGCTGGTGACCGAGGGACATAAATATGAAAATAGGTTTATGGGAAGCTCCAGTGTCATCATGCATCACAAGCAAAGAGTAACTATGGTCTTCAGTGCTGCCCTGGAAGCTTGTGGTGTCCATCCAATTGCACACAGAAAAATGTCAGTTATAAAGTCTGGCAGTACAGATTTCTGTGATGCAGAGGCGTTGGAGGAAGCTGTGATGAAATACTATTCAAAATGTTCCTAGGCAAGAGCTTTCAAGGAGAACTTCCAGGGCAGTGTTCAGAAGACAACTCATGAAAGTGAAGCAGCAAACCCTGGGGGGAAAATGAAGAGATGCTCAATGTATTAACAAGGGGAGTAAGACAATTTATTGAAAAAGCCAAGAGCCAATAACACACGGCGAAGGAGTGAGACACCTGAAACAACATTAGCATTAAGATGGGATTACAGTGCCTTGGTAGTTTTTAAAGATTGTCTTCCACTATTCCCATGTGTGGACTGGGTTATTTGTCCTCATAGTGCTTTTATGCCAAATTCAGAGTTACATTTGCAGTTACAAGATTTTCTGGTAGAACACGTAGAACTTTAGCCATCAATCTTAAAAATGTTGTCTTGAGATTATCATTTAACTCTGGCCAGTAACGCAACTAGTGAAAATGGTCCTAACTAGTGACCGATATTCACAGCAGACTTGTGAGCTCCCTGAACATTAGATACACCTGTGTTCAGAAGACGCCTATTCCAAGATCATGCTGGCACTCCTTCCATGTATCTACCCAGGTTATCTGTGCTTTTGCTCTTTCTGTGAATGTAGATGATGAAGAGTTGACTTTCAAAGTGTGTACATTTTGGCCTCCATGCATCTGGAGGAGGAGGAGCTTATGTAATAATGTTTGTCCTCCGTGGCGAGATGAGAGACTGCCTTGTCTGCATCTTGCAGGCTGCCGCAGATGCTGTGTAGCACAGTGTTGCAGAGAGAGCAGTGCGTGCACACTGGGACACAGCCTTCCCTAATCCCACGGAGCTAATTGTCTGAGTTATTGTTCCTTGGCTTCTTGGTACTTAGGTGTTCCATTTGCCTTCTTTATTCCACTTTGTACCCATTTATCTACCATATTCTTACTTGGACGTTTTTCGTGTAAACAAGGATTTTTTTTTTAAGCCACTATGTGAAAGTGTGTGTATATACTAAACTTAAAAATGAAATGCTGATGTGTTTGCTTTGTTTTAAAATCATAAAAGATTAAAATATATGTATATCATTTTCCCAATACAGTTAAAATCTGACTTGCCAAATTGAATTTACATTCAATTTTTCTGTTGTAGGACTCCTGAACACCTTATGCATTATATAATTTCATCCATATTGTGGGCTCTTTATTAAAAGATAATATGACTCTTTGCTGATGCCTTTTATACCTGCCTGTACTTCTTCAAGAGATGGTGAGCCTGGTGACCTTTGGACAAGATAGTGACTTGTTCACTGCAATGGCTGCTAAATTATGGACATGTAAATTCTGTCAAAAGCTATTACTGAAATTTGTTTTTTCTTAATTCTTGCCTTGGGTGTCTTCATATCTTTTTTTTTTTTTTTTTTTTTTTTTTGGCCTTCAGTGCTTTTGAGTTGTGAGGAATTCCAAACATAGGCATTGGTAGTAGACATTCTGACACAACTGAGCTGTCACCTCCCATGGTATATTATTGAATATGCCTGCACAAATGCCTGCAATCTCATATTTTAAAGTGAGGAATACTGCTCAGTTCTGTTCCCCAAAGGAAGCGAGTACAGAGGTGCCCTCTGCTTTTTCTTCCTGGCACTTTCATCATGGGAACATGTATGTACATGTATGCACACCTTGCTCCAGGAAGCAGTCACATCATAACATATCTAGCCCAGTTAGACATTCACTGGGCACAGGATATATTGCCCTCTCTTGGCCTGAGGAGGTCTCATGTCATGGAGCTATCATGTGATTTGTGTTTAGATCCATAGAGTAAAGAGGACTGGTAGTGTTGGCTTAACATAAGGAAAAAGGTCTGACTAGTGTACCATGGAAGCTTGAATTGTTTTGCCAGAGGAAAAATATCTTTCCACAGCAGTCTGGTGAATTAACAACAAGATACACAATCATACAGTGAACATGTGTTTGACTCTGTTGATGGGATGTATGTATAGAACATCAGTTGTCTGTATGGACATAACAGAGTATATATTACCATAATATGAAACTATGCAAGAATATGTACATTGTGTGGGATGTTGAATTTTAAGACATTTACTGGAGAAGAAAATCAGAGAAAACCTGAAAACACTTTGAATTGATGAAGTAGTTCATTTGAGTTTTTTATTCAAAATATATTTGAAGCAGCTATTCCCTGCATACACTTTATATGGAAATGAAAGACAAATAGGTTATTTTAATGTGTTACCACTTTTCTTTAAGCCAGATCTTTTCATAGAGTGAGAATGCCTAACAGGCAGATCCTCGAATCTGGTGCAAGGCTCAGAAATACTCTTAGTGCATTTCAGCCTTGTCTTTTAGGTCTGAGTAAAGTCCCTGGCGTCAGCAGGTCAGAGGGCCACTTGTATTGAGTAATGTCAAGAGTGTCGGAGGGTTTCCTTCACACTGTGGCTGACAGTTGTTTCTGAGGAAAGAAGAACAGTCTGGCTGACAAATCTGTCCCAGTCTAAACTGACTAGAAATATCTGGCACCGTGAACACCTAGTTAGTGGAGGTCAGCAGTAGGTCAGGCGGTAATTGTTCAGTGCCTCATTCACCAGTGGCGGTGGGAATTGCTGTGGTGTAAATTGGCTTTAGGGGACAAATTGATCAACTAGAAGAGGTTTAAAGATTTTTTTAGTGTTTGGTAACTGACAAGGGTTCTGACTCACTGGACTAAATGATGAAATGGGTAGCAGTTGTCTGGACACTAAAAATGCACAAGGGCAGAGAAAGATTTTTCTCATCTAAGAATTTCCCTTGCCTTCGTCCTCACCTACCCTGGCCT